TCAAAAGCATTTGAGAATAAAAAAATTTTTGAAAGTTATTTATTAAAAACTTTTATTATTCAAAAAAAACTTTCCACTATTCTTTTCGTTAGGGACTATAGTCATTTCTTTTATTTGGTGCCAGTCTGGAACTTTATAACAAGGATTAAAAATATTCATCATTTCAATGAATTTCCTGTTTTCAACAATACTAAAAGGTTGTTGATCATCAATTATCCAAATAACAATTAATTGATCTTGTTTTGATTTTTCTTTCATAGGCTAAGGAGTTATACACTTAAAATTAAGTATAGTTTGATTACTTCAGATTTTTGAAATTATTATACTATGTTAAGTGAAAAGATGACGTTTCATGATAGAATTTCCTGATTTTTTAGAAAATACATTTTTACATTTTTTACAAATAGGTATTCCTGGATTATCTTTGATTTCATAATCTATATAATTCCATAGAGATAAAGTTTTATGTGAATTTTGTAAATCTTTAGAAGAGGGTTGAGTAGGTTCTGGTTCAACTTCTGATTCATTATTTGAACTATTAAAAGAACTCATAGTTATAGTAGTAGCGGAAAAAACTGGCAGTTAATGAAAATTCATTTATTTAATCAATATTTATTAAAATCGTTCAAAATTTAAAATATAAATAAACTAATATCACATTTATTATATATTAAAATTTTAATATTGAATTACATTGCTATTCCTTTCAATTACCAAATTTACCCTCCTTTCTATACTATTGACTAAATTAAGGCAGAGGTTTTGATCGATATTAAACTATTCGCCTTTAATAATTTCCATAAAAATCCTTTACGTAATCAGTTTTTTTCACTAATTTGTTTATTGACCTTCTTTTCCACCCTTTTCTTGATAATTTCCCACAAATTTTCTATTAGATTCAGATTCAGGGAATATGACAGCTAATTGAGAATCACAAGACATTGATTTTTGAGAAGAGACACCGTAAGCTTAGCTTTGTGCTTCAGATCATTATCCTGTTGGAATGTCTAGGATCCTCTAAGAAGCTGATATGCTTGATCAAAAAGATTATTTATTAAAATTTCACGGTACAACTTCCTATTCATATTTTCAGTAAACATGTGAAACCCAATGATTCCTTGCAAACAAAAAGCCCTCCAAACATAAACTTTGAATGGGTGTTTGACAATTTTACAAGTTGGTTTTTTTCACCCTCTTTATAATGAACTAAGTTGGTATTGTAGAATATTTGAAAGGTCGTTTTATCAGAAAAAACCATATTTTCCCAATTTTTATTTTTATGAACTTCTGCCTAAAAAACTCGTCTCTCTTTTGTAATTGAAATAAGAAATGGGTTTTTTTAGGAACACAAACTCGATAACCAAACTTCCAAAAGTTCTTACAGACTGTGCGAGTGACTATATTAAAACCTGGGTAAGTATTATTAAGAGTGTCTGCAATTTCAAAACTTGTTGCACTAGCACGCGAACGAACGAGCTGATCAAGATAATGCTACTTTTTTGGATTTAAAACCTTTGGGTATCCTGGACGACATCGTTGTTTTAAATTTTTGGTTTTTTAACTAAAATAACCACTGATACAGTATCCTTAGTGGGAACTTAGTAATTTTATGTAGTTTGTTTACATTTTGTGTTTCATTATTCTATAACGACTTAACTATCTCACGTCGTTCTTTAATAAAAATTTTTTGTGGCATTATTACATCATATCGGTTATAAGGCACTCTTGTGTTCAGTTTTTTTATGCATGTTAATCAGTGTAACATAGTAAACAACCAAACAAAAAATTGGTTTGTGTTATCCAATCAGATGTGATATAAATCATTATTTTTATCACATGATCGCGACTGCCATTTTTTTCTGCCACTACTGTAAGTTGTGTAAATAAATAATTGTGTAATGAGGCATAATACAAATATTTATAAGGTTAGATCAGAAAATTATTTATATCACGTATTCTTAATGTAAATAATATTCTAATTAAAACTATCTATTTATGAAAGTCTACTTCAACTTTAATAAAATAATTTAAAAATAGAACAAAATTTTTAACTTTAATAAATTAATTTAATTAAAAATTTATATTGTATTATAATAAATAAATTTTAATATAATTGGTTAGGACTTAAGTCTTAAAAAATAGGACCTAATAATCTATGGACTTAGTCTAAGAACTAAGTCTTTAGGCCAAGAATCTAAGACTTTACTAACCCTAGTAATCATGACAATGATTCTGAAGAGGAAGTGCAAGACGATTCAGATGATGATGGATATGATGGATATGGTGAATATAATGAATATGGTGAACATGATAGAGGTTATTACTATTGTGATAGAGAATACGAAAGAAAAACTTCCCTAATGATGAGTTCTATTATCTTTCTAGTAACCGCTTGCTAAGCCAGAGTGACAAAGTCAAGTGCTAAAGACAGGAGAATTATCAAGCGAAATCACATATTTGCATAGACTGAATTATTGTATAGGTTATTTCTTTTTTTCAAATCACGTGGGTGGCTTAGCCGAGAATATATTATGCTCAGTAAGTACGTCATATACTTCTTCGCAATAATTTCACAAATATGTTCTGATCTATCTTCTTCGAAATTTTGAATTCACCTACTTATTCTATAGACAACACAGATTATGGTCCGTAAAAAGAATAAAAGACATATTCAATCCACACCATTGGCCAATGAGACCCAGTCCAGAAGCCTTACATTAACAGATATGGAATTACGAGAACTTATTCGTCAAGGTCTAGTAGTCGATGAAGTTTATGAAATATTATCATATGATCGAAAAAATATGCCTTGGATTGATAACTTTATTAATCATTCGATTGAGCTCGATGATCTAAGAGAAAAAGCATATCACGCCTTAAATGAGAGAACTTTTTAGCATGAAGGTATTTCATGATACATTTAGTCAAGATGGACTCATCTCCTAAGCAGAATATTATAGAAATAAAATAGATAATTGCATAGCAGATTTTATTATTCGAATAGGAGAAGGTAAAAAAGGATGGTTAAGTCGTGGATCAGTTGCAATTACGGAAGGAGTGGTAGATTTGCTTAATGGTGCCGAAAATAAAGGTCCTGAATCGCATGGCCAAATTATCATTTTTTAGAAGTTTACATGTATGTCGAATACTACGGATTAGTCTTGAATTGTAATGTTAATAAAGCTACAATACATTGTTAAAAATCACGTGATGCGTGACTTATGCAAAAATACCACAGTACATTTATTTTTAGTGGATCTAAGCTAAGAAAATTATGTTTGTATTACTTGTATAGCTTATCATTTTTTTATTCGAAAGTTCTATTATGAATTAATTAATGATTTGCAAAGATTGATCCAGAGTCCCTGAGTGCTGAAGATCATGATGTTAGAATGAAATAAAAATGAAAATTGGGAGGTGGATAAGCAGATCGACCCAATTGCCACAGAATAATTTTTATTACCCATTAGTGTTAGTTAAAGATGCGTAATCCTTAATCAATATTCCATTTTTGGTAAGTTAATTGGATTTGTCATAAGAACTTAGACCCACTGCGAATTATATAAAAAGGTGATACCCCAGTTAGTGAATCTTTTATCCGCTTTGTGCAAATAAAAAAAATGAAAAAATAAGCGAAACATTCAAACTTACCATAAATTATATCAAACGAACTCCTATATTCCGCAAACAATAATAAGGTATATTGATTTTATTGCTCGGCTAGCTTCTTGAAACATGTCATTATGATGTTAATCGATTTTTTCCAACTCTACAAATGTCCATGAAAATTTCGGTCATATTGCTCTTGTTATAAATCGGCATTTTGATCGCCAAGAAAATCACAGACCATCATCACGCGTACAACTTCACAGCAAAGGTCTGGCGCAGTATATCAGGAATCATAAACATCTAATTCTACGCAGTATCGTACGTGTGATAAAAAAATCAAAATATCTTTATTATAATGCGTTAAGCAATAAATTTCAGGCAGAATGGAATGTTGCGAAAATTAATAGTAATGGTAAGTGTATATTACATTGCCTTATTTTTTATCTCAATTGCTAATCCCAGATTTATGCTGTAGGTTCGAAATTACCTAATCTTGGAGAAGTTTTCTTACAGGGAATATTATTTTATATTGTCTGTGTGGGTAGGGGTGATATAGATATGTGAAAATTTGTATGGGATAATTTATTTCAGAAACTTAGTGTAGAAAAAAAGTATTGGTGCAATAGTGATATGAAAAAACAATTAGTATAGAAATTTTCAATAGAGCAAAGAAATAATGTGCAAGTTATAAAATATTCTAATAAATAATCAGTTAGTTTCGCAGTTATTGCGAGGTAGATCCTGGGTCTAAAATAACTATTTCTCAAGAAATTTAAGTACAGATGAAGCTAGCAACTACCGAGAAATAACTCGAATATTCATTGATTCGTAACTTCACCACCGAAGATTAGCCGACACAAAGCTACAACTTCTCCTAAGTATCTAAGGATATAAGGGAAGTTCTCGCCGCCAAAGACTGGCTGACACAAGAAACTTCAGCAAAATCAATAAATCAACTGTCTACCGCCGAATAATGGCCGACGTGAACAGTTGTTAGCTACCAAGTAATTCATAACTCCACTGCCGAAGACTGGCTGACACGAAGCTACGACTTTTCTTAAGCATCTAAAGATACAAGGGAAGTTCTCACCGCCGAAGACTGGCTGACACGAGAAACTTCAGCACAGTTACACTCTCCACTGTATAAAAATTTGACCGTTACCGCTTTTCATTTTTCGTTTTTCATTTTTATTCGTACAGTTCATCACGGGCTTACTGTAATAGCCAATAAAATGTTTAAAGGCAATTATGTTCATGATACTAAGATCAAATATTTACTTGACTTATTCGACGCCTGATGAGTTAAATGTACATGACTATTTCAAGAAAATATATGCCCAGGATTGAAGGTTAAAAAATTACCTCAACTATCGCTTAAAAACTGAAAGCGAAATTCCAGTCTGGACTAATGTTATTAATGCTTAGAAGGCTTCACTCGAAGTTATGTCAAAATGCAATCATAAAAAAGTTCTGACTAGCGTAAATTCATTTTGTAAAGAATTAATGAATTTTAAAACTTTTGAAGAAGAGACTATCCTAGAACGATGTATAGAATGGTATAATAACTTTTATGAGCGTTACTGTGATCTGCAACTCACTGAGGGTCCAGCATCTAAAAGAAAAAATATACTTTTCACAAAAATTGTTGGAGCTGTTACAAGGAACGACAATTATAAAAAAAAGAGACCACAAGATGACAGCGATGATAACAAAGCAGGCCCGTCTAATGAAAAACGTAGTCGGCAAGAGGTGCATGAATTTATTACACTGTTTGATATGCTATTGGGTATCGATACTACTTTATTTCTAACTCATTTTTATTACTAGGATTTATCACGTGAAAGTACAAGAATATATTTAGAGTCTTATCAATGTGAACAAATCGAGCTACGAATACTTGAGCATTCAATCGAGGTACTTATATTTATTTTAATTTTTAGTGCGAAAACGTGTTATTCAAATTAACCCACAAACCTTTTGGATGTATTCGCAGGCTGAAGGACCTCCGATTGAGTGGGAATTCAGTACACCAAAACAAAATTGGCTAGATAAAATAGCACAGGAGCATCAATTGCTAACTTCTACAAAGTTTTCTAATAATGATACAAAAATTTGATATGAATTGTCATTAAAGTAAACGTTTTATAATGCTGATTTTTTCATTATTTGTAGTATTCAGATTCTAATAAATTTTTTTTTAGTCCAATCTTGTGGAAAATCATTGATTTATTTGATCAAAGAATCACAAACCTTTTATCAAAAAATGAATTATCAGAATTAAATACAACAATTTCAGCTTCTCTTAAAAATTGGACAATCTTGGAACCTATGGCAGAGAAATATCTATATTCTTTAGCAAAAGTATATTATGAAGATTAAAGTATTTTGATTTTTATTTGAAATCTTTTTAATTTTTTTGTTTTCCAGCTTGATGGCAATCAACTTCGCATCATTGGTGAAATTGTAAGGCCCAAAGGTATACACAGCACAATCCTTGAACTGCAAAAAATATTAAATAACATTAAAGAAAAATCACCCGAAAAATCTGATGATGATCTCTTTGATGATAAAGATACTTTTGAAAATGATGATAAAAACTTTTATGAAGAAATCCTATTATCTACCGAAGATCACACGAATGCTGATGTTGCATTCATTTTCGATTTAATTAGATTTACGTAAGTTCATTCAATAGTTTAGTATTAATACATGCAGTTTAATGAGTTTTACATATATAATTTCAATCAGATGCAAAATGATCGCAAAAGGAATCCCTCAGCGACAAAATTTTAAACGAGACATTCATATGTTTATAAAGAGACACATATTTTCTTATTTCGATACTATATTAGATAGTCACTTATAAGTTTATTTTTTTTAATATTATTTGTTATTATCAGTAACAATGCTTACGATTTTTCCTAGAGGTGAGGTAGTATCAAGGGCTTTCAGGAATCGTTGAGCAGAAGCTATAGATGCATCAAGTAATATAAAAGGATATCACCTTGACTGGATGTTTACGATATGGAACATTCTTAAAGGTTTTCAATATCAATTATTAGTGTGTTTGCTAACATCAATTTTCAGAAACATGATTTAAGGAAAGAATTGCGCTGGGGTCGTGAGTTTTCCCTTTGTGAGAGAACTAGTTCCAAATGTGAAGATACGTCAAAGGTTCTTTCGAATACTCTTAAGGTACAAACGACATTAAGAGATATGCATTGAAATTTAATTGAATCAATATCTGATAAGAGTGGCAGAATGTTATCAAAGCCCATCCTTTATGCTAGCACCAAACTTTTGATGCCCAGATTTTTGTTGTCATATTTTTTTTTACGTGCTATGCTAATTGTCTATATTGGAGGTGAATTTTATGTATCTGTCAATTTAACGGATCTCTATATCCTAACAAAATATGAAGAACTCGAATTTATTTTTAAAATTTCAAGTATAATGCTTTAAGTAAAGGTTATTATCATACAAACAATCTATAGAGTTATGATTTTACACTTACTTGTCCTGTTTTTGCAGAAATTATTATCCATTACTATTTCTCGGTTTAAAAGTATAAAGAGCAGAGCAGAAAAAGAAAAATTTGCTTCTGGGAAAGTGGTAATTCCCGCTAGACAGCAGGAACACAGATCATCCCAAAAATAAAAAGTCAATAGCAAGATTTATTCTTAATAACATCACTAATGTAAGATGTTATTCATTTATTTGATTCAGAACCCAATTATTGAGCAGGAAAGGTCATTAATTTTAAATGTATATTTTTATATATTATTGGAATCAATTTAATTGCAACCTCATTTTTAATACAGTAACTCCGCTATCATTAATAAAGAATTAGGTTTGTATGTATCTATAGTGCAGTATGTATATCTTAAATTATTTATCTTGATGTGTTACAATTTATGCAACCATGCATCTAGATCATGGTAGTATATTTTTTTTACAGGCATAAGATTTACAGAGTAAACGAATTTAAATAGTTCTGCTATTATAAGGACTATCATTAATCATGCAATCTGAAGTAGATTTATTAAAGCAACGCATCTGCTGAACTTGAGACTGTGAATACTAAGATCAAGATTAATTATATAAGGTCATGGTTGAGAATGCGAATCTAAAACAGGCTATGAAAGAGCATTTCAAGCTTAAGGCTAGAGTTGTAAAATTGAAGTGGGAGTCCAAGCAGTCGCAACAGGTTCAGCCTTGTCAAAGAAATCCAAAATTATTGTATGTGGGGAAGAGTTCTTTTCCAACCCGTCTGACCCAATCAAAGAGTTCACTATGACTTCCTGCGGATGTATCTATCATCAAAAATGCATCAAAAAACATCTACTAAAGCATCTGTTAAAAGAAGAAGCAAGTTGTCTGAATAAAGAGTGTAAATACAAAGTTATCCAAACTTTTCTCTCTGGAACTTTTAAAGAAGGATGTAAATAAGGATAAGGAGGTACGATTATATGAGTCTACAAAACCACCCGCAAAAGAAACAAATACCACTACTTCAGAATTGACTAATACTACTGCTACCACTATCGCTACAACTAAACAAGTGGACTCGGAGTCTTCCAAAGAGGTTACAAAAAGTGCTGTCAAACCAATTTAGCCAGGCTTCGTGCATATGCATGTACTGTAAATATAAAATTAGCTTGGCCTCTATATAAATCCTAATATGCTTGTAATCGAATAAAAATGAATCTGATATTTTATTATAATATAGTTGTTACAAACTGTTATAATTCACTATAAATCGATAAAAACAGTGAAATTGCTATAAATTTCTTAACCAGTAAATCTGTATAAATTTGAATGGTGATATTGTCTAGTATAGGTTGATAAAGAATCAATATAACATACTGAAATTGCTAAAATCGATAAAATACTTTAAAATCGCTATAATCTGTTATAATCTACTAAAATACTATTATAGATTAGATAGTAGTGCCCAATATAAGATAGTTTCTATAGGCTACAGTGATGTAAACTTCGAAGAATATAGAAGAATATTAGAAGCATTATGTTCTTTAGATGAATGATATGATCATGAAACACCAAAAATGTGGTGCTTCCGTATTCATGATCCATTTAGAAAAATACTTGAAGAGAACCCAAAAATTCTTTCTAAGAATGGATATATTACAATGTATAGAAATTTATATGAATATGATAAAATCCATGGTCTTCCATCAAATTACATATATTGTAGTGTATGTGACTCCTTAGTTTTCATACCTGAAAATGGTTTTAGTAGAGCTAATTACTATTGAGATAGCCACTTGAAGAGATGTATTTCTGGAAATATTATTTTGAATAAACATGCAAAAAGAGAAAAAATTCTCAAATCTATTAATAGAAGGGAATTTCAGATCTAGCAATATAAATAATACATATTACAAGAAGAAGCTAAAATTAATCGTCTCCATCTAGAGCTTTTCTCCCAATCTACCTTACACTCAGAAAAGGATAAGTTGGCATTGGTATTTTATGATCATGATGGGAATTTTATGGCTAGCTATAAAATTATGTACAATCTAAAGCAACTTTAGCAAAAAATACTATACTAAGTATTCTAAATTTTAAGCCAGCTTGTATTTCACCTGCCAGGTAAGAAATAATTTCACTAACTTCTTATCAATCATCAAATTGCAAAAGTAATACAAGCGAAATATTTATCTTGTCTCAGTATGCAAAACAAAATAACTTACTACTATCTATAAACCATCTTAATCAGCTTGCATTAAGATTGAAAGATGAGACAAAAATCACGTTCATTTAACTGACTTATTTTGAGAAATATATTAATTATAAAATATTACTTTTAATTGAAGATTAATATCATTTAGCCAAAAATGCAATGTATAACATTCTTTATTTTTTGCACTATATAATCTGCATGCATGATCACCTGGTAAAATTGTGAAATATATCACCTGCTAGATAAAAAATGTGATTTGCATATTTCGGATTAGATTCTTCAATATACTGTATAACTATTTTAGTAAAGTATTTTAGAAAAATCTATGAAGCGATCTTGAGGATTCTTGATTGCAAGATAATATAACTATCAGTTTGAGAATTTCCATGTAATGGTTATCTAGTGAGCCTATAGAAATTACAAGAAGAGGCCTGAATCATTAGCAAAACAGGTTTAAAAGATGGTAAGAAATAATAATACTCCTGATGATATGAAGTTGTTAGGTATAAAAAATGAATCAGAACAATCAGGATATATTTGTTATAGGGATGAGAGACATTGTTATCCAGTAAGAAATGATTGGATGTATGAGCAAAGAGCCTAATTATGACAATGATCATCTTTTGTAACATTCATACTTGTTAAGAAATTATTATATCAGCAAGGCTATATAGTTATTAGAAGTACATATTGGCTTGACATGTTAAAATGGCTACGAAATTTCAGATATTATAGTATTCATAAAAAGTATAATTTTGTATACTTCATCAGAATTTCAGAATATAAGGCATATAAGATTAAATCATCAGAAATGAAACCTATATGTGATTCGCTGTTAAAATATATATATATTATATTTATGAGAAAAATATTATTGTGAATTTCATAGACTTAGATGATAATTGTGAGATTGTGAGTGTGTGCTGAATTTTTCAGATCAGACCTTGATCCAGATTCCGAATATTGTATTAATAAAATAATATATTATGCAAAGTACTTCAAGGTTAATGTATGTAGGCGTATATGATATAAATTAGCATATTTTCAATCCTCGTTAAAGTATATATGATGTAATAGTGATACTTCACAAATCATCTGTGAAACTATGCTTATGTGACAAAATAATTTTACACATAAATCAATTTCCCAAAATATTTTAAATTTTTTCTTTAAAACATTTAGCAAAATAAGATTTAGCAGAATAACATTTACTAATATGAATATTTATTTCAAAGAGACAGGCTCTTTAACACTACTGATTCCAAACAGAATATATTTATATAATATTACTTGAGTCTTAATATTAACTATTGAGCAGTTAGGTAAGCAAAAAAAGTCTGTATATGCATTGTCTCCAATATCATTCTAAATGTCAAGATTTTTAATGCACATTTCATGCTCTTATTCTCAAACACAAACTTTTAGCATAAACTGCCTTGCATATTCTCCTTTTTCTCCCTCAACATGAATGTGAGTTGATGAGGACATGGATGGAGATTTAAAATGGCTGGGCAGTATATTGGAGTTGAGTATTTTTATGCCTTGTAAATTCTTTTATTTTAGCTATGCCTACCGATATATACACTAAAATTTATGATTTTTTATCAAGTGCTGAGGAAGAGAATATTACTGCTGAGTCTGTTATTTACTAAAGAATCGAAGAAAATCTTAGATAACTCAAAATGAGCTGAAAAGTATTATTGAGTGGACTGTGACATTTATGAAAAATCAATATGAATAAGACTCCTCATGTCATACTACTCTTCTCAAAATTCTACCAGAGGTAAGATATCAAGCTTTGAACTACTGACGACTAAAATTTATTTGAGTGATGAATAACGTAAACAGTGATATCATTCTAAGGAAGAGAATATAATAGACTAAATATCCTATTAACCACTCACAGGATTTTTTCTCAATAGTATAGAGGGTAGTTGGGCTATAGCTATATGCTTAATTCAATGTAGTTATTTCAGTATCACATAAAGTCTTTATTTGAGTGTTGGAGTAGCTAACTATACGAGAATAGGGCTTTATTTTAATTTAACAGCGCATGTGCTTTTAATATTTTTTTAAAATATATATGCTTAGGCTAATTAATTGTATGTTTACATTAGTTCAAAATTGGCTTTAAAATAATCTGTAGTTTACGTAATATTAGTGCAATAAAAACGAATAGAGAAAGGCCTCTTACTTCAGATAAAATCAAAAAAATATCAAAGCACTGAAGGTAAACTTAGAAAAAATACATCACGGTTTTACTAGTATTTGTTTTCAAGTGTAAATGAAGTATCTATTTTTGACTTACCTTAAAAAAATCCTTTATTCAACCAAGTAATTAGCGATGATTCAGATCTAGTGCAAAAATTACCAGAATAGCTAAGGGAATCTTTTATGGTAAAATTCTTTTTTTATATACAATCTTATGTTTTTTTATCTAGCGTTAGACATTATTTTAATTTATCATTATACTATCTTTAGAAACTAGTAGAAGATATAATTCCTTCATCACTTTTACAAATTATATGAAAAAAATGTGAAGAATTTGTAGTTAACTTTGCAGAGAATAATATGAGCATTTTATCACAAAATCTTTCATATAATGGAGAATAGAAAGAATCAGATAAGGAGTTTACAGACATCACATTAAGAATTTTAGATTCTCTAAACGATTCATTATAGATGCCTGCCGAAACCTCTTCAAAATAATTTTGTCATACCCTTTTCTATGTTTTTAATATAGTTTCGACAGTTTCAGCTTTCGTCGTATCGAATGGGTTTCGTCATATCCCTTATTATGATTTTAATATAGTTTCGTCTAAGTTTCAACTGTTATTAAGGGGTTTCGTCCCTCATCTATACGATTCATAGAATAATTCTACCTTTAGCTCTGAGTTTGTGAAATCACAAACGAAGGTACTTATGTGACTAACATAATAGTTTTTACTATTCA